AAAAAAAAAAAAAAAAAAAAAAAAAAATAGAGTTTCATTAAATTAATTAGCCCCTAAACAGGGCTAGCTCCCAGATATAATCCAGTAAAATGTGTAGGTTTTCTAGCCTGGTCAAGTTGTAACAAATTTCAGGAGCTTGACAGTTAAGAAGAGGGCCCAGGAGCGAATTCCAAGCAAAGAACTTTGCTAGTCTGCCAGTATTGAGGGTGGCAGAGGGGGCGGGGGTGGGGGCGGGGGAAGGGGGATTCAAATCCTAGCTTTGGTAGCCCTGAGCTCTAGAATGTGCATTTTATAGCTGGAGTTGGTAGTGTTGAGGAACGTTGAGCAAGGTCAGTGATTTTATTCCTAGGGATTTAATGTTATTTTTTCACCACGTGGGATTCAGTCAATCCAGGGAATCTCAAGTTTGGATTAAAGAGGGCCATGTTATTTGGGCAAACATGACTTTCCAAAGTAACCATAATAATTCCACCCTGGCATTATACCTTCTTTGAACAGAATTAGCAAGCTGAGGCATTGTATCTCAAGGCTCATGGCCACAAAGATCATTTGAGAGAGAGAAAAACATCTCTGAAAATCAAGACGGTTACCATCCAAAGTTTGTTTTATATATTATAGCCAATAAACTTCACTACTAAATTCTATCACAATCAGATGAAATGGATATAAGTTATGCTAATAGGATTTACCTTGCATTACCTAAGGTCTTCCCCCCCAAACAAACTATAAGCCATTAGGTACTACACAAAAGTAAGCTCGCATTAACTGTTGCTATTGGTGTTTTTGTGTGTTGAGCTCCCAGACCAACATTCCTAGTTCTGACATAAGACAGTAGCTTTCTTTTTTCCAGTGAGCTGTGCATTTTATGAGTTCTGTAAATCATGGCTCTGAATGGTATGCAAATGGCATATTGGCACTTGCTTTGCCTTGTCTGATTCTCCTAGTCTTTTGGGGGGAGATTTTGACAGTTTGAGATTTTGAAATACCATTTGTTCTAATCGAGAAGACATTTATTTGAAAGTCATTGAATTCTGGATTTTGAACTAATCCTGATAGATCTGGTCCCAGGTTCTAAGTCCAATGTAACAAAAACATGTAGCTTTATACAGTAACCTTTGGAAGGTCTTTATAGAACATTTGACAAGGAGGGTAGAGACTAAGTAGAAACAAGCTGAGAAAATCTCCTGCAAACTATATAGGGATTGGAGCTAGAGAGGTTGAGAAGAGATACTCGAAAATCAGTTAAACATGTCTTCCTGAGCCCTAAGTGCTGATGTCTTTTTGCGGGGGTAGGGGGTAATTCCAAACTTGCCAAGGCTCTACCAGTTAACAAGGTGGCCTTTGCAACAATAAAGCCTACCTAGGTGGTCGCTGATTCCCTTTTGGCAAGACAGTTCTACGCGTACTCATTTTATTTGTTCATATTAATCCAGACATTGTGTCTTCCCACAGCTGTTCTAGGCTCAGTTATTTTTGTTTTTATTTTGTCAAGCCTAGTTGACATTATTTGCTCATATTTTATGACAGACACAGACGTGTCTCTTTTCTTTGCTGCTCTTTTATTTTCTATACAGTTTATATTTATGAAGGATCCGGGCTGGTGAGTGAAAGTCTCATAAAAGTCATCATTATTCTGTGCATTTCTCTTGGATTCCTCTCTTCCTCCATTCTGTGCCTCATTCTGAGTAGTCTTGTCTTTTGAGTCTTCTGCTCTTTAATATTCCTCCTATTTTATGAAGCACATGGATTTGTGTGATAACGACTCATCAAAGTCATCATTATTCAAGACACTGTCTACCTGTTCTTCTTCTCATTCATTTCACTCTTCATCATTCATAAATAACGTGCAAACTTGTCTTCCAACTACCCTATTTTTTTATTTCTCATATTTTATAATGCACACCAACTTATAGCATATGATAAAGCCCCATAAAACTTATTATTCTACATTTATCAGCATTGAACTCTCTTTGTAATGTATTAGACTTTAAATGTTCTAAGATTTCCTGCTGCATTTGCTCCCATTATTTACACACTCCATGTCATCCATTTTTTACAAGAATAACTCTTAGCTCCTTTCATTCCTGGATTACTAGTACTTACTGTAATCTTCGACCAACATCAGTCATCCTGCATCAGTGGAAGTTGTCTAAATTTCGGGACGGTATTAAAGTAGTTTTAATTTGCAGTAATCTTGATTGGCACCGCATGCAGAAATCTAGGGAAAACATCTTCCTAGGCAAATGCTCCATTTCAAAAGAAAGCTCTTGAGTCTGCTTGCTTCCCCAGGCTACTCCTGCTCCAGATAGCCCTTAGGGAGCCTTCAAACATACTCTTGCAAATAGGATGTATTGTGCCACTTTGTTTAGCTCAACTGCTGTTTTGTGCACTCCTAGCTTCTAAACTCAATTATTCATAATTGTAGATGGTAGCCTTGTACCTACTTTATTTTTCCTGAGTCCCACAGCCACTGAAATGTACTCTCCCCCCCATTTACATCATCGGTTGGGATTATGCTTCTCCTATCCCAGGCGACCTATAGAATTCATCTTTTTCCTAGGTTAGGCCCTTGTTGAAGCAGTGAGCTGGGTATGGCGGGGGGCTGGCTTTGGTGGGACCACAACCTTACTTTCTGTGCTCTTCATCATTCCGATTGTGGGGTCTCCCTGTTTCCTCTCCCAGAGAGTCTCTGGTGTCTTCAAATCACCACCTAAAGGAAGTATTTGTACTTGGCCTGTCCCTGGCCCGTCTTGGGGAAACATCTTGAATTCTTAAATTTTTGCCACATCAAAACTACTGTCAATGTGAATCCTAATCCTTCAAGGGCCTGTCCTTTTCTGAAACTTTTAAATTAAATATATGGAACTGAGTCTTTCAAATCAGGTAACAGAGGCGACTGTCAAAAAGCTGGCTCTGCAAATGTGTACAGCAGGTACGCGCCCAGCAGGACGGTCTTTTGTG